CTTGGTTAAAAGGACATTCAGAATTCAGATGCATCAAGATTTCAGTGATAGTCATTAAAATAATGTTACAGAAAGAGGAAACAGTGAACAGCTGCAGCGCTGCAGGGGACATAATCCTGCTCTGCTGTTATAATTTCATATTTAATGGTAACTGTGGGGAAGAAGCAGAGCCTATGCCACTGCCACATTACATTACCACACGTGATGATGGAGATGGACTTCTCATAGATGGATTTGGTCTGGGGATTACTTGAGTGTATTAAAAGCCACCTGTTACAATCTCTGCAATAATTTATCTAAAACTATGATTATTTATTCAAATAAGAGGCTATTCTGTCAATGAGTTTGTAACGGCGGTGTTTGAATGTGTGACCTGAGTCACCCTCTCTGCTTGAATCTAGTTATCAAGCAGCTCTATTGCAAAGCTTTTAAAGTCTGTGCGAATACCCTAAATCTTTCGCCAGGCCACTCTCATTATTATAACCCAGTTACGTAAGCTTTAATTCCAGCTTGCCTTCCAAGAGGCTGTGATGGTTTTTTTAAAGAGGTCCCATCCTCTTAAGGTGATTAATGGTAATATGTGTGTGTTGAGGGATGCAAAGAGAAGGGGAGGGAAAGAGCAATGTGAGAAAGAGGGAGGGAGAGAGAGAGATGAGACTGAGATCTGATCTGCTGGAGTTATACAGCCACAGTCAGACGTTAAGCATGAAAAGGGCAGTCGAGGTGTGAGCCAAGGTCTTTTTGGGATACTGAAGATAGCTTCATACACATCGGCAATCTTGTAAGTAATGAGCAATCTTAAAATCACTTCACTCAAGAAAAACAATCATTACGTTCTTGTGTGAGCTTGTGCATTTCATAGAGAGTAATTTTACATGTGCATTCATGTTTGACGTGCAATAGACTACTAAAAAAGTACTAAAAAGGTATTTTAAATTATATTGCTTTTTAGATGTAATGTTTCATTGGAGGCTTTTTAAAGTGCAAAGACATATATTTATAATTCAAGGCATACTGATTTCAATGCTGTGATTCAAGCTACCTTTTTGTATTATAAAAGAGCATTAAATCAATGTTGAATGTGCTTTGTCGTAGATATAGCTATATGTGTGTTATAATAGCAATTTCTCATCTTTGTTTCACAGACCTGTGTATATCAGTGTTCAATCAAAACTTGAGGATCACCTGAAATCACCCATTGCCCCAGTGACAAGGTAACGAATCCTATTTTCACAAAGAGCTTACAGACCCTAATTACACACTGAGACACGAGAGACAGACAGAAGAAATTCGATACCTATATGTAGAGTAAACACTGAATCAATTAGAAATACAACAAATAGAAATAAATTATGTTAAAAGATGCCAAATGGCAAAATCACAACTCTTGCCTCACATGTATCTATCAGTAAGCATTATGCACAATAAATATAAATAATCTCACTGTTATTTATACACAAAAAAGAGCCATGGTCGCTCATTTCAAGCACTGATGTGAAATAGGTCACTTTGTTCTACAGAAGATTAAAACGCTTCAGTTAAACCATATTGGAGATGATTCTAAATCCATCACAATATTCACTGTATGTTTTTTAGTGATTTGCATGAGCATTATATAATACAAAATGGATATTGAATTTTCAGTTAATCAACCACAGTTATTTCAAATGTGAAATCATCTTCTAATGTCGAGAGTAAAAATAACTGACTATAGCAAATAACAGACTTTTTGTTTCGGTGGGATCTGACCCTCAATATTCATATAAATAAGTTTATATCACATGTTTGGGGTTGGTATGATTTTTTGAAAGAAGTCTCTTATGCTCACTAGAGCTGCATTAATTTATATACTGTAAAAACAATAATATTGTGACACTAAATTTTATGTATTTTAAAATGTATAATAATTAATTTATTCCTAATGTATTCCTCTGATGGAAACGTTGACTTTTCAGCAACATTATGCCAGTCTTCAGTGTAACATGATGCTTCAGAAATCATTCTAATGCTGATTTGCTGATCAAGAAACATTTCTTATTATTCTCAATGTTGAAAACAGTTGGGCTGCTTAATAGTTTTGTGAAGACTGTAATGCAGTTTTTAAGAATTCTTTGATAAATTAGTTCAAAAGAACAGCATTTATTTGATATAGAAATCTTTTGTAACATGGTAAATATCACATTTGATCAATTTATTGTGTCCTTGCTCAATAAAAATTTTTTTCAAAACAAAACATACTGACCCCAAGCTCTTGCATGGCAGCATCATTAAACAATAGCGTATGTTTTGTGTAAGTTCATGTTTGGCTAACTTTGCACAAAAAGCCAGTCTGGGTGGAGCACAATGAACCTCAAGAAATTATGCCATTAAAGTTTTCCATAGAGCTTTTCAACAATTTGACCCTCCTGAAAGTCACTGAATAATTTGAACTCTGTTAATTAAACCTGTGCATTTCTTGTCAGGTGCGAAAATGCATCTAGGTCAGCAAAACCCTGTGGTGGATGGGCTATCCTTAAAGGAACTGGGTGTGCTGGTGGAGATAGAGCTTCGAAGGAAAGGACTGCCATTTCTCAAATATGTGGAGTACCGTATTGTTAGCAAGGTAAACTCAATTTGTACTTATATATGCCATTCTCTATTCCCTATACAATATTAACTACTTCATTGCTTTTATATAGTGTTTCCAGATCCCGGTTCAGCGCAGGTACAGTGATTTTGAGGTGTTCCATGGTCTGCTGCTGCAAAAGTTCATCTACAGGATGGTCCCGCCTCTGCCCCCCAAACGCATCCTTAAAGGAGGTGAGGAGAACTCTCTGCAAATGAGTTTGTTTCTTAAATCTACACTCTTGTTTAACTAAAACTCTGTTTTTTCTCTCTCTCCTGCTCATTTTCAGTTTTGAACTCATTGTCAGACCGAGAGTTCAATGATAGCCGCCGCCGTGGTCTACAAAGGTTTATGGCCTTGGTGATTAGACATCCAGTCCTGGCAGGAGATGAGCTGGTCAACATCTTTCTGTCAGCAAGCAGCGCGGTAAGCCCTTCAACCAGCAGATGGCAGTAATTAAGTCATATTTTGCCCAAACATGATAATTGTTGTTTGTTTCGAAGTTGAATAAAATAGGAGTTCATCACATTTCATCCTTTTTGTGTGTTGCAGGAGGTTCAAAATATGCTGCGTGATGCATATAAAAAGACAGGTGATGAGTTTCTGACCTCCCAAATGGCCTTGCATGGCAAGGTGGGTAAAAGCTAACATGAAATTAAAATACCATGATATTCTTTGAAAAACCATGTAAATATCATGGTATTGATATATATCAAAGAACCACTTGTACCAGTGTATCACCACAGTACTTTTTGAAAGTAAACTGACACACAAAATGAATATTGCATGTCATTTTTTAAGGTGTACCTACCTGAGGACATACAGACCCAGGCTGCCGCTAATCGAGAGGTCATTGCAAATATCCACAGCAGCTTCAATAAACTCAGAGATGTAGCGGAGTGCATGGCTCAGCGTTCATGGGAGAACTCAACAGATCTGCTCATGTTTGGCAAAGACCTGAGGTGAACACACCATACTGAACTTGAATATATATTTAAAAAATATGGTAATATTTATAATGATTAATTTAAGTTAAACATAAATGATGAAATATGGAATTGAATTAATTGATTTGAATATAAATATTAAGTATCAATATTTGGGAGGAAAAAAAATGGAGTGAACAGGTGTGATATAAAAAATACCCACGAATGTACATAGCTAACATGTACAATGTGCAAAAGTTTGTCATGATCTGTTGATATTAATGTTAACATTAATTTATGAATTATTAAATATTTATAATTAAAAACGTATAAGACAAGTGTCTATTTTTCTAACAATGTTTAGATACTTTTATTTTTTTGTGGTGCATTGGGTGGTTTGTAACACTTATCAGAATATACATATTCAAAGATGCTACAGTGCTATTTTATTATCATTAATATACTATTATGTTTTTACTAATATTTTGAATTAGTTTGATTTTTATATTTCATAATCGATTTTATTTTAGATTTTAAATTTAGTTAAAAAAAATTGTGTTTGTTTGGTATTTTTTTTTACTTTTTATAGTCTTTATAGTGTTTATTCATATCAGAATATACATATTCAAAGATGCTACAGTGCTATTTTATTATCATTAATATACTATTATGTTTTTACTAATATTTTGAATTAGTTTGATTTTTATATTTCATAATCGATTTTATTTTAGATTTTAAATTTAGTTAAAAAAATTGTGTTTGTTTGGTATTTTTTTAAACTTTTTATAGTCTTTATAGTGTTTATTCATTTATATTTCCGTTTTATTTATTTTTGTACTTGAAGTTAAACTGAATGAAAATGAGAAATGTGGCTTTTCATGTTTTGTTTGATTGTATTTCAAATAATGGTTATGTTATTTCAAGTAACAAAAATGTTTTTAATGGTTTTGATTTTAGTTAATAATAATAGCACTGGTAGGCTATGTTTTATTGAAAATATGACAGTTATTACCTGACTCTTCACCAGTGAACTGGGCTCGGACACATCAGACCTGCCAATGAATGCTACAATGAGCAAAGTATGGAAAACACAGAGAAAGTCACTTGTAGAGCTGTCAGGAGAATTTGGTCTTCTCGCCGACAAAGCTGCACACCAGGTATTAAAACATGATCATTATTGAGCATTAGTCTAATCACAAACACCACCTCAAAAATGACTGCAATTATGCAGATCACCAAACTGTACTGAAGTGTATGAACCATTGACTGTAGGTATGAACAAAAAGCTTCAAAGCACCTCAATGTTACCATGACACCCACAATATTAAGACTCTGGTTGAAAAGAAATTAAACGCAGTATTTCGAACCACTTCTTACACACCAGGGCAGCAGAGAGGAGGATGAGGTGGTGGAGAAACTGAACCTCCTCCTTGAACAGCTGCAGTCATACAGAGTGAGTACTGTCTGTACAAAACTTTTTATATCGATTTTGCCACAAAATAGTTTTAATGGATGTTAATGGGGCATATGCAGCTGGTATAAGATGGGGTAATAGGAGTTTTGTCATATATTACTCTGCATGTATGACTGAACCAATTTCTAAGGACTGTCATTTTACACTTTACAAATTAAACTGTAATGACATTCAGGTGCTAATAATTTTGGATGTATATGTGTATAGGACTTGTGTGATCGTCATGACAGTGGTGTGTTACTAGAGCATCAGAGAGCATTTGAAAAGCGCAGCGGGCCTGTGGCTACACACTTAAAGTACCAGAACAGCATCGAGCAACCAGAGTCTCGACTCTCACAGGTAAAACATATAGCAAACACACCAACATGCAAACTACACTTAACCAAACTAAAGTATACAGGTAGACATTCTGCCATGGTGCACTGTCCACAAGAAAAACATTTGTACAGTAATCCAGCAGGGTTCGCATATTCACAGCCTAGAAATATTAAAAATATATATTATATACAGTACATATCTTCTTTAGAAAGAAAAAAAGTGTTTTAGGGTACATTTACAGTATATGACAACAATGTACTAAAAACTTTTTTTTTTTTGGCGAAAATGAATAAACTCACCTTTAAATTGTGTTTTCCATGTATGGAAAATGGAATGTAATATATATATATAATTCTATAGTTCTATAATAAATACAATTCTTGAATCACTCAAAACGGTTCATAAATCAGTCATTAGAGGTGATTTGCACAGAACGTTGTTGCTTTTAAAAACGTAAGAGGCAGGGCAGTTTAATAAAGAACGCAATGTATAGAGACACGTTTTTTCTAAATTAGCCTACATATACATTTAACTTGAGTGAGGCATTTTTAGAATGAAGGTGAATACGCGCTACGCTACCCGGTCTCATGAAAGTGCGTATCAGTAGAGTTTCTGTTTCTATTTGGCGTGCTATTTATATTATACAGAAATTGACTTTGGCGTACATATGATACGCGATGGTTAGGATTAGGGGTGTGGGGTTGGTGCGTATTATACAGTATGTACGCCAAAACTGCGTATCGTATGCACGCCAACAAATTGCGTATCATATGCACGCGAAAAGTGCGTATTATATGCACGCCAAACACGTCAATATCATGCGCACGCCAAAGTCAATTTCTGCGTATACATAGCACGCCAAATAGAAACTGAAAATCGTGCTATTGATACGCATTACGCGAGACGCTGCAAAATAACGAGACACAAATGCAACTTTTAACAAGTTCGTCTAGCGCTTACTAAAACAATAGAAAAACTGCTCAGTGAGAACGGCCCCTTTGGGAATTTGTCTGAATTCAACTGATTTTCAGAAATACTAATGTTGTCATCAAGAATGACTGGAAAGGACATGTAAAAGTCATGAAAATTCAACACATAAAACACACACACACACACAAAAGGGGCCACCAGCTAGCATAACAATGTAACCTACAGAAAGCGTGAAATCCTCATCACTGACAGGTAAACTAAATATTATTCTGTGTCATCCTACAGCAGGAGAACACAATTATCACCATGGAGATGAGGAGCTATTTCTCCCTTTTGTGTCTGCATCAAGAAACCCAGCTGGTCTTCACCTATCTGCCTCTTGTGACTTCAATACTGGGGACATTTGTCCACTCACAAATACAAGGACACAAAGAGGTGTGTTTCTAATAGCTCTATTACTTCAGATTGTTTGATCAATTCAACACTATTTAAATTGTGTGAACTGTGTATTTAGGGCCTGAGCACCGATGGTGCGAGGACCCTATTGGAATCGCTCAGTTTCTTCTTCTTCTTCTCCTCCAAAATGAATCGCATTTTTTAGGGCATTTTAGCTCGAAAACTCTTGTTCGCCAGAAGTGGCGAAAATTTACATCTGATATGAGTTTCAGAAGTGGGTGTGGCAAAATGGCTCAATAGCACCACCTATAAAATTTCAAGGAAGTGCCCCTCGAGCTATGTTTCACACAGGGGCGGACTTACCCATTAGGCAAAGGTAGGCGACCGCCTGCTCTTGATATATGTATTTTACCATTTTGTTGAGTTTAAAACTTGTGACACTTTAACAAAAAAGGAACGTCAAGGTTGATCTAGGAAAATGTGTGAAAATGTATAGGGCCCCATTCCTATATTTTGCCTGGGGCCCCCACTTCACTAAATCCGCCCCTGGTTTCACATACATGTACGAAATTCGGTGAAACACGTGTAACACAGCAATACCTACAAAAAAAGTCTCCCGACTTCATGCATTCGATAAGAGTCCTGGCCTGAACATATCTAAAGGCCCATAATCAGTTATAATCATAGCACCACCTGCTGGCAACATGAAATGTTTTGTTTTACACTAACCTAAATATGCAATGTCCAATCTGCACCAAACTTCACGTTTGATAAACGTCCTGGCCTGAAGACATCTTGAGAGGACAACAGGGGATGGACTTTTTCACTGGAGGACGCTTTATCATATAGATCACGGACTTGTATTTTGGCCAAATGCAGTTTAAAGTTTATAAAATGCCTTATTTTTTTTCTAAACACACAGCTTTTGGTTCACAAGACATTAACTGATGGACTGGAGTCATGTGGATTACTGTGATGTTTTTATCAGCTGTTTGGACTCTCATTCTGACGGCACCCATTCACTGCAGAGGATCCATTGGTGAGCAACTGATGGAATGTTACATTTCTCCAAATCTGTTCCGAGTACATTTTCAGCAAATTTTCATTTGAACTATTCCTTTAAGCTTGCAGCTAGTCAGTGCTTCATCAACTGAACCATTTACGCCAAATGTTTTATCAGTGAAATTTTTTTTTTAATGATTACAAAAAAAAGCTCTTTGTACAGATCATTGCGCTGGACTATTGTCAATCAAAAAAGGGCAAATGAAACATCAACCATCGACTGTGTAAGAATTAAATAAATAAAACAGCAGTAAGGTTAAGATGAAATAATTGGTCATTTCTATAATTTTGACCAGTAGTGTCAATCTGAAGTCATACAGTTGTGTTTGTGCGTACATTTTAGATTAAATCTCTATATTTTGAACCTTCTGTCTCTTTTATAGTCAAGTTATAGACAAATTATAGTCTCTAAACTTCATAAAGTGCCAAATATAGATCAAATACACATGAAGTGGGTCTGTTTTTGGTTAAGCAACAACATGTCAAAACTACTTTTAATTCATTCCAAATTGAATCATTTTCAAATTAAATTTTTTTTATTATCGCTATATATAGAATAATTAAATCAAAGATGTGACCGCAAGGGAGAAAACAGGGAAAAGGCAGTGTAATCTTCAAATATACAAGGTTTAAAATCACAAACATCCTTGTGTGTTTTTATAGAGAATGAAAAGTGCATTTTAATGGTCATATGTCAACTCATAATTTTATTGTCAACTAAAGTGACTGCTCTTCCTCTTGTAAAACCATGGATACAGTAGATATATATATCAGCATTACATCAGCCATTCTGCTCTCTAGATATCGGCACTGGTATCAGCCACTGTAAACTGTTTATCAGTGGGCAATTGCGCAATATGTCCGTTTCAAAATTACAACAAATGTGTGTTTTTGTTTATGCACATGACCAAAACAGGTATTAGTCACCTGATGCACAGAGATCCAAGATGTAGAAATTACTAGAAGATTCTAGAACATCCTGTGCTCTTCTCTGTACCTCCTAAAGGATGTAACCATTGCGTCATGGTCATAAGACATGTTACTTAACAGCTGCATGAACTGCATGGAAGCTATGGGGAAATGGTCATGACTAGAAACAGACTGATATATTAATCAGGCTAATTAATTGTCCGATATTTGGCCATTTTGAGGCTATTGGCACTAGCTACTGGCACTCCCATTATCAGTAACATAAGTGTTAACACTTCCTTGTTTCAGTACAAAAATCCACCAACAGCTTTGTCAAAAGACATTTTTTGTTTTAAATATAGTGGAGTTCATAAGTCTGAGGCTACACTGAAAATCTAGAATTCTACATTGTAATTTAAAACTAGAAATAAACAGAATGCTTTAGAAGAATAAGAACATTTAAAACAAAGTAGAGTTATCTAAAATTAACATGAAGTATCTCATTTTCTATTGAAATAGAAAATATTTCAGTCTTTCTACTTCACAATTTCATGTTTAATTCACTATTTCTTGCTCTTACTTTGTAATTAATTGTGAATTTTAATTTAAAATTTAGCAATTTCTGAGTGAAAATTGTTTCTACACCAATTTATTTTTTTTGTAGTTTACTAATCAAATAAGCAAATTTGGTTTGACAGACAAACCAAATACGGACATTTTAACATGTTAACCTTTACTCAAATTGTTATGCTGATCATGTCATTTGTATTTAAAAATTGTACTGAATTAGAAATATACAAAACAGAAGCATTTTGCTTAGTGCTGTCAGACTTTTGGACCCCACTGTATATGTAGGTTATACAGTTTTTATCAGCAATTGACCATCAGCCATCAACCCATTTCGGCTGACCACTAGAAATGATAATGATGAATAGATCATTTGTACTCCTTTCTTTATGTTCATTTATCTTACCCCACTGTACAAAACAAGTCCACCAAATCTGTCCAGCCAAACAATCTAACATACAAACAAAGGCAGTGCTAACAGGAAGTTAGCATTAAAAAATTAAAGTGAGTGTTTATATTGTGCTTAAAAAGAAATACACATTTCATATTCAGTACAGATGAAAAATAATAACAATAAAAACATTATATATGCATTCAAGTGGTATTTCTATGGCTTTTTGTACAATACAACCTTTAGTGAAAATATACATCTACACATAATTCAAGTACAAATGTACAAAATTCTTTAAACTCATACCCTTTTCTTTAATTATGATACAGTTTAATAAGTTCATAAATACAGTTGAACATTCATACGTTTAGCATTCTGATTGGCAGCTGATGGGAAGTGGGAGTGGTTTTAGGTCAAGATGGCTCCTCCTCCTCACTGTTGGCACTCCTAAAACAAACCTGGAAATGATGAAGAGCACAGTAACAATATATCAGATGTAGTGAAGATTACACACCCTAACATGGCAAACATAAGTGCTTCTAAATGTGTGGTCACATTAGTGAAAATTACATTAGGAAAAAAATTCCATTGTATACACACACACACACACACATATATATATATATATATCTTAGTGCTGTCAAACGATTAATCACATCCAAAATAAAAGTTTTTGTTTACATAATATATGTATGTGTACTGTGTTTATTTGTTATGTATATATAAATACACACACATACAGTATATACAAGTGCCGATTAAGTACTTTTAATGAAATGCAGGAAGACATCATAAAGTAGAGTGCATGTGATTATTCACATTATTTGTCATTCTTAGCTACTTTTAAAGAATTTTAATATAAATTCAGTAACAGATCACCCAAATGAACCAAGAATCAATACTCTAACCTTGCATCATATTTATTGTGTAATTTTCTTCATTATGAATTTTAATTTCAGCCTATTTTTGAATCACATTAGAAACACCGTCACTAGATTGTTTTTAGTTTTCATTTGAGTTTTTTTTTTTTTTTACTTTTTGAAATTGATATTTTAAATTGGAGGTGAAATTATTGGTACCCAATAGCAGCTTTTTAGTCTTAGTGCAAACCTACACAGTTAAAGTATGAACTGGAATCAGCTGTCATTTAAACAACAAAACTCTGCTATAAGTGGTAATCCACAAAAATTCAAACGTCAAACTGACTAGTCATCAGTTTTGAGGTTTGTATAACTCTGGTAAGGGTTAGTCAGAATAAACCTAAATTAAAGGCTCAGTTTGCAACAGTGTTGTAGAGGTTTGTCCCCATCACCGCATAACCACACACACACACACAGAAAGAGACTGACAACATTCATACGGCAAGGCTTAAAGTCAACATGAAATCAAAACTCTTTTTTGTTTTATATGTGACCCTGGACCACAAAACCAGTCATAAGGGCCAATTTAGTTAAATTGAGATTTATACATCATCTGAAAGCTGAATAAATAAGGTTTCCATTGATGTATGGTTTGTTAGGATAGGACAATATTTGGCCGAGATACAACTATTTGAAAATCTGGAATCTGAGGGTGCAAAAAAAAATCTAAATATTGAGAAAATCGTCTTTAAAGTTGTCCAAATGAAGTTTTTAGCAATGCATATTACTAATCAAAAATTAAGTTTTAATATATTTACAGTAGGAAATTGACAAAATATCTTCATGGAACATGATCTTTACTTAATATCCTAATGATTTTTGGCATAAAAGAAAAATCAATAATTTTGACCCATACAATGTATTTTTGACTATTGCTACAAATATACCCCAGCGACTTAAGACTGGTTTTGTACTCCAGGGTCACATATCCTGTTTTAGTTGTAATACGTAACATTACGGAAGCAAAATAGGTTGCAAACATTGTTTCATGTTGACTTTAAAAAACGAGTATATTTGTCAGTTTACATTTCATATAAGAATTAAGAAGTTTGGCCATGCAGATTTCAATTAACAAAGATGTATTGGCAATAAAATCAAAAGATGAAGGTAGGAAGGTCCGTTTGGAAAGAGCCAGAAAATACCTCAAGCCCCACCCCCTCTGACCGCGGCGGGCGGCACGCTAGCACTTGCCTCTCGGTGGAATAAACGGTAGAAGA